GGGGATTGGTGCAAATTTCCTTTTTTTTTTTTAAGCCTGGGTCTTGCTATCTAGTCCAGGCTGACCTTGAACCCAAGGACTCAAGGCAATCCTCCTGCCTCAGCCTCTCGAGTGCTGGGATCACAGGTGTGTGTGCTCCACCATGGCCAACTTCCCTCCTATCAACACAGCACTCTGTGGGGTGGGGCTCCTCCTAAGCCTGCGTGACCGCGCTTTAACTCTATTACATCTGCAGCTCAGGACTTGAACGTGTCTTTTGGAGGGACACAATTCACGGCTGAACAGGGAGCCACTACTGAACAGGTACGGATTTCCTTCTGGGGTGATGCAATGCTCTGCAACTACGGCTGATGGTTGCACAACCAACACACTCAGCACCGCTGAATTGTATACTTTGTGTATTTTATTTATTCTGAGGCAGGGTCTCACGGTGTAGCCCCGGCTGGCCTGCGACTCACGATGATCCTCCAGCCTCAGGCTCCTCCTCCGTGCTGGGATCACAGGTGCAGGTCACCACACCTGGCTTGTACACTTTTTGACTAAAATGAGCTCCAGGACTTGCCTAGTCTGCTCAAGGCCCTGGGTCCCACTCTTAGCACTGCAAAAAATAAAAATAAATAAGATGGCTACAATGGAAATTTCATATGATGGGCACATTCCCATAATAAAAAAAAATTAATTAATCATTTTCAAACTCCCAAAGCCCTGAGTTGATGGGGCACCCACCCACCTCAGCCCAGGCATGGTGGAGCATACCTGTGATCCCAGCATTTCAGAGGCTGAGGCAGGAGGATCACTTCAAGTTTAAAGCCAGCCTGGGCTATGTAGCAAGACCCTGTCTCAATAAAACAAAAGACAAATTTGGGGAGTCTGGAGGCCAGGAAGGAGAGAGAGTGTAAACATTATTATAATTACTATGCATTGCAAACACACACAGATAAAAATCACCCCAAATGGCAAATTTTGGGTTGTTTACTAAACTAATAACAAAAAAATCCCTACCAACCTGTACAAAGGAAACAGTAAGGAGACTTCTGTTTCTGTTATGGCTCTGGATACAAGAAAACTAATTCTCCACTGAAGAATGTGTAGCTAGCCAAAGCCCGGCAGGGTGGCACAGGCCTGCAATCCCAGTGCGCTGGGAGGCTGAAGCAGGAGGATCACAAGTTAGGACCCAGAGTGGTCAACTTAGTGAGGCTTTGTCTCAAAATAAGAAATTTTAAAAGGTCTGAGGATTTAGCTTACTACAAAAGCTCTGGATTCAATCTTTAGCATTGCAGAAAACAAATAAAAACAAACAAACACCCCACTGTCTCATACCGCACAGCTCGCCCTGCTCTTCCCAACAGAGCCTGGGATTTCAGAACCAGCAGAGAAAACTGGCCTGGGGATTTAGCTCAGCGGCATAAGTGCCTGCCTGGCAAGCACAAGGTCCTGAGTACAAAAAAAAAAAAAAAAAAAGAAGACAGGGAAAACTGACTGTGGCCATATTTGGTTAACTTATGACCAAATACACATAATGGGAAATTTATCATACTAATCTTGTCTTGTCTTTTCTTTTCTTTTCTTTTCTTTTCTACTCTTCTCTTCTCTCCTCTTCTTTCTTTCTTTCTTTCTTTCTTTCTTTCTTTCTTTCTTTCTTTCTTTCTTTCTTTCTTTCTGCTCTGCCATGCAATTCAGGCTGGCCTTGAACTCACTTTGTAGCCCAGGCTGGCTGTGAACTCGAAACGATCCTCCAGCCTCAGCCTCCCAAGTGCTGGGATTACAAGCATGTGCTACCATGCCTGGCCGTTTTAACCATTTCTAAATGTGCAGTTTCCTAGTGCTGAGCATATTGATATTGTTATATGGAGAAGTTGTCATCTTTGGAATCTGAAACCAATTCCCAGTTGAGTGTGGTAGTAGACCCTATAATCTTAGCACTCTGGGAGGCTGAGGCAGGAGGATTCCAAGTTCAAGCCCAGCCTGCACAATTTAGTAACTTAACAAGACCCTGTCCCAAAATGAAAAATAAAAAGAAGGCTGGTGATATAGCTCAGTATAAAGACCCTGGGTTCAGTATTCAGTATTGGGGGGAAAAAATAAATAAAACCAGCATCTCTCCATTTCTCCTAAACCCCTGGTCAGCTTTCTCTCAACATCATTGCTGAAAAGATTGTGTAGAGAGCTGGTTGTGATGGTGCACACCTGTAATCCCAGCAGATGGGAGGCTGAGGCAGGACAATCGTCATGAGTTTGAGGCCAGCTTGGGCTACATAGACAGACCCTTTCTCAAAAATTTAAAAAAAAAAAAAAAGATTATAGAGAAATCTTTTAATGTCTGACAAGCTTTTGTAGCCTGGAGAAGAAAATTCACAAATGTTTGGTGTTTTGTTAATGATCACTAAATCTTTAAACAGTTAACTGTCCCCTAAACATTTACCACCAAACTCTCACAGCTAAAAATAGCAAGCCAGGAATTACACAACTGGAGATGTCTCCAAACATTGGAACATCAATTGCAAATGCAGTCAATGAACTTTTCACAGGTCTGATATGAGATGGCCTCATATGTCTTAAACAAAAGAAAAAACAGTTATGCTGTGTCATCACAAGTTTCACCAGTCCCTAAGCTGCAGGGCACAGTAATTAACACACGCGTCTGTTTCCTTCCAGGAACTTGGTGACAGGACCATGGACCATCGGAGTCACTTCAGGCGTCCCCCGTGAGTTTGGGTTCAGGGGCTGAAGGTTCAGGCCTGGAGCACGTGGCCTGAGGTCCCACGGGCAATGTCTGCGTCTCTTTGGAAGCCATCGGCTGAGATCCTAACTCTTTCTTCCTCCCCCTTTCTGGCTGAGTCAGGGTGTCTCTGCATCTAGTCCAGGCCACCCATCTGCGCCGCCACACCCAGCTTGGTGACATCCTAACCCTCTTTTAGTTTTTTTCCAGTACCAGGAATCGAACTCACAACCTTGCACTTGCCAGGCAGGCGCTTTGCTGCTGAGCTTAATTCCCAGCCCGGCATCCTAACTCTCAATTGGGCAATGCACGGGTGTTGTGTTGGGATTACAAGTGCTTCATTATGTTAGGTTCTATTTTTTATTTATGTATTTATTTATTTATTCCGGTACCAGGAATCAAACTCACGACCTCGCGCTTGCCAGGCAGGCGCTATGCCGCTGAGCTAAATCCCCAGCCCCCTCTATTTTTTATTTTGAGACGAGAAATCACTAACTTGCCCAGCCTGGGGTCAAACTTGCCATCCTCGTGCCTCAGCCTAGCAGAATACTAAGATCACAGGTGTGCACCACTAAGCCTGGGTAAATATTTTTTTAAACATAGTGCCCAATAATAACATACACAGTTGCCAAGCGTGGTGTTGCATGCCTGTGATCCCAGCACTTGGGAGGCTATGGCAGGAAGATGACAGTGAGTTCAAGGCCAGCCTGAATGACATAGTCATACCTTGTTTAAAAAGAACAGAAAAAGGAAAATTGGAGGGTAACCCCAAAGAAAATTCACATTGAAGATACAATCTCAAAACCAGCCAGGTGTGGTGGCACACGCTTGTAATCTCAGCACTGGGGAGGCTGAGGCAGGAGGATCGCTATGAGTTCGAGGCCCACCTGGGCTACAAAGTGAGTTTAAGGCCAGCATGAACTGCATAGTGAAGGGGCTGAAGATATAGCTCAGTAGCCCAAGAGCCTGCATGGCAAGCGCAAGGTCCTGAGTTCAATTCCTGGTACTGGAAAAAAAAAAAAAAAAA